CCGTGAAAGCCTTCGACAATACGTAGTTGGAGAAGCTTGATAGATTGCCAACCCTCAATTTCTGATTCATATTTAAAATTAAACAAAATTATGGATGGATTCTGCCTTTAAATTCTCACCATGGCTTTGATTTCAAAGACAAAACACTTGGTGGACTCAAAATACAATAACAACAGCAGCGGTCAGGAATATCCTATGACACTGTTTGCTTAATGAAATCTCAAAACAAAGCATATTTATTTATTTATTTATTTTAAACACACAGTATGGCTGCCCATCTTATGTGTCATAACCCTGGGTGCTTGTGAAACAACATGCAGGTATAGTTTCAGAGAAGGGCTTACCAGTCTAAAATTCTTCTACTTCAAGAAACATCAATCTTCCAGAATGATCATTCAAGCAATCAAAGATATTTGAGGGCCCAGACTGCAGATGGAGAACTTCTGCTAAAAAACCAGCAACCTCTATGTTCCAATTCGATATCACAAGCAAAGTGCCAAGAACTGGACCCTTGGCATTTTCAGAAAAAAAGTATTCAGTTGAATTTATTTCAAAATCTGCAAACTTATTCCCAAGTAACAGTCTTCATTCTCCTGAAAGTAAAACAAAGATATATGAGAAAACTGACTGGAAAAGCATAGTCGAAAAGAAAATAGACATTCCTCTTCCCCACTTTAAACGGAGAATAGATTTTACCCTGATGTCAAGGTGTAAAACATCAATTTGCTTTTTTAAAAAATGTGTACTTTTGCATAAATGGAGAAAATATTCTTCATATGCTTCAGACATTTGCACTGAAGCATTGCTCTTCACTACTAAGCTACTAAATGGTTATACATGTTACTCTCTCTCCTAATGCTTTTGTGAAATAAATGGCACAAATATTCAAAACCCCTTGATGTGCATATTTATAAATGGCTTAACATGTGTTGTATATATTTTGACATAAGTTCTTCACCCTGAGTTAAGTATTATCTTTACCAAGTTTAAGGTTCGTATTTTAGTTTTGGGAGAGCTCTTTGGTGCAGAAAGGTTGCAAACCAAAAAAAGAGGATGAGCAAGATAAAGGAAAAGAAACTTTTCTCAGTACTGAAGATAAAAATCTCCTTGAGTTGAACTGCACTCCTGCAGAACATATGGGAACATCCAGCCAAGATTTTCTTTTTGGCAACAGTGCGGAGAGGTTTGCCACTGTCTTCATCAAAATCTTTTTTCAGCTTCCCAGTCTAGCTACAGCCTTGGATTCCCTGGGTCCTGTCCAAGAATTAACTAGCCTAGATCCTGCCTAGTTTGGGACTTAGAAAAAATCAGGCAAATGCTGCCACCAGCTGTGACTTTACAAGCTTCTCTTATTGGGGTGAAGAAAATCAAGTGCACTTAGTCGGCTGGCCGGCTGGGGAAACTACATTGCCCATGATTCACCGGGTTCCTCTGTGGTTTTTCTACACACCTTAAGTTGGCGAGAGAATGAAGGGGAAGGGAATCATGGGCAATGTAGGCTGCTGCAATTGAGCAACTTTTAGGCGAAACTCCGTCCTCTCCGCAACTTTGGGGTTGGTCCCAAGCCTATCTTTCCTTCGGCTGCAATGGGCTGAACATTTTAGCTGTCTAAGGTCTTGTGATTCCTCTGCAGAGGGAAATAATGAGGACGGAGCTACCGATTTCTTTCTTCCCCCATTTGCATTGTAGTGAGTGTCTCAGTCAATTAACCCCCATCAGGGCAAATCCCTGGGCATGCCTGGGCCAGCTTTCCCTTCAATTTGGCACGACTGTTGGAGGCGACGGGTACCAACGCGCCCTGGGAAACCAAACCGGCCTTCCCACGCCAATGCTCTCCAGGTGCGCTGGAACTACAATTCCCAGGCTTCCTTGCAAACATGCACGCGAAGGATTCTAGGAATTGAAGTTGCATCGCCCTTGGACGGCGCTAACTCGGAGGCCCGGGCAAAAGTAGCTTTACCTTAGAGATCGCCCTGGCTTGTAAATGAGTGGATCCCCTTCAAGGGAACCGATTCTCCCGGATTACCTTACAGGGCAATTAAGAGAGGGAAAGTTCAGGGCGGATAACTCCTATATAAGCAACTCCGATATATTTTTAAAAATGCATTTTAAAGGTGTAATTTTTGCAAACGTGCCACGAGGCCCCTGACTTCTTCCCCAACTGGAACCGCTCCCGACTCTTGTTTCGAAGCTGTGCACGCCCACTCGGAGAGCCAACCCACGGAAGGTGGAGCCCTTGGGAGGGGGTACAGAACGAGCGGGTCGGAAAGCGTGCGGCGGCCGCCGTTTCTGGAACCGCAGCCGCCGCCAGGCCCCGCGCC